AGAGTTTTCTTGACTGAAGCCTCGGGGTCTTTAAAAATTGGGCACCATAAAAGTGGATTGACAGGGACGGAAACAAGGTATATTTCTTTTATTTGTTTAAGAAGAGTTTGTTTTCGTCGTAGTGTTGGTGGACCAATGTTGGATATCGTCGGTAGCCATTGTGTAGGGGTGGACTTTAATATTTCTGATATTATGCGCATACAGTAATTTGGCTGGGAGTTCACCTTTTTCGTATGCGAGGTGTTGATCTATATACGAGTATGAATTTAAAATAACGTTAGATATATGCTTTTTGTAGTAAAGAGTCCTATCCAGCGTGACTCCCAGGTATTTGTAGTTAAGGTTGTGTGAGACATCTCTCACTTTGTGGCAGTCAAACCCATGATATCTAATCATCTCTTTACATATAATGAGTCCTCTTCTGTTATTGCACATTTAAGTTTAGGTTAGAGAAGAGTAGTAGTGTATTATTAACATGTCGCGCGCCGTATCGCTACACAAATAATACTCCACTACTATCCTCCAACTCAAACTTAAAAGCGGAATATCATGTCAATGGATCGACTGAAATAAAAAATTTCAATACTAAAATTTATTCTAACTAATACTCCATTTAGTTATAGAATTTTTAATGTAGGTTGCCATTTTAAAATCAAAAGTACGTTTTACCTCTAAAAATAAGGGTGACAAAAATAACATAAATATAAAATTGTAGTCCAGCTTGTTTCTTAAATGTTCTAGAAAACAAATTTCGGAAAAAGTTAATACTTTCCGAGTTAATGAGTGTACTTACTTAAATAGATAACTCGGTATATAGTAATCTATAATGAATATGATATTTCAATTTTAACTTCATAAAATAATCCATGTTTTATATCATATTTTTCATAAGTTATAATAGTTGTCCTATTGACCTGATCGAACAACGTGAAAATTAATAAATTAATACTTGAATTAATACTTGAATATTATTTTATACAGGCAACTTATAATACACTGAATAATATTGTATTGCCTCTAGCTAAATACATTCTACAGTAGCAGCTACTATATTGTGAATTCCCGTTATTAAACGTTTTACATAGGATTTGCGTGCATTTTATGGTCGGCAGTATGTTGTTATTATGGTATAAGTAATATTGTGTTAATGGAAAAATATAAAAATACGTATGCAACCGAAAAACTTTATTCAAACTAAATACGAGTATAATAGGTAACTTAATGTAATGTGTTAAACTACAAGTAGCTATATGATTCAAAAACACGAAAATTTAAGTCAATGCCCTCAGGACGCGGGGCGTTGTTCACTGACCGGCCGGCTCGGCTAGTGTTATCCATATTGTTTATTATTATTTTAGATTCTGAGTGTAGCAAAGAATGTAGTGGTTTTACTAATATGTTTATTTTTTATTTTTTTTTATCCTGTGTTCAAAAACTCTACTAAAAAGCTTGCTCAGGTAAATACGCGCGGCACTATTTCTGAAAGGGAATGTTGTCTAGATGGTATTTTTGGGAAATCATTTTTTGATTTTTCAATTGGATTTCATAATATTTGGAAAAAACTAGAATAAAACGTGAAAAAAATGAGAAATCTAGGAAATTAAAGCTTTTATTATTTTATCAATTTTGTTATTTGTTGTAATTCAGTTAAAAATATTCTTAGAGATTTGAAATTCATATAAAAACTTATATTTTACTTTTCTAGATGTGTTCAAATTTTCAAAAAATTTAAGCCATTTTTGAGCTATTTATATATATTTTAATTTTGCGAGTTTTGTACGTAATTTTTTTTTCGGTAGATACTCTGTGGTAAAATTGTTAGACTTAACAAAAATGCTTGAAAATTTAACAGGAGGTTCATTAAAAGCCTTACTTTGTGGTTAAAAATAAAAATTTAAGTTTAATTTAGTATTTATTTTTATAATGGAATTTTAATATCAAATTTTGATAAAAATCGTTAGAGTAAAACATTATGTAGAATAAATCTAATTTTTCGATTTTTTTTTTTTTTCCAAATGTGTGTGTATTGATGATTTAAGAAGGATGGTAAAGTCAGAATTAAGCGGACTGACTAAGTATCAAAATTATAGCTTTTTGAAGTTCAGATATTATGCAGATGTTACATGTTATGATAAATAACTCTATATTGTTTACTTAACTATACATTTATTGTGGTCGAATGGTCAATGACCATTGGTCATGAATACGTATTTTCATACTAAGGGTTTGAAAAGAAATTGTCTGCCCTTTTTTTCCCATTTTACCTAAATAGGGTAAAAACAAATATATTTTAAGTGTATCTAGAAACTTAACTATCGCTTGCTCGGACAATTTTATTCTAAAAATATCCCTCGATTTGTTGTACAAACTTTTCTACGAGAAATCTTGGTCCCATGTATCAAGTATAGTTTATTTTTTAAAAGGAAATTTTATTTCCATGGTTTAGGGAGCTAATTTTTGTAATTTTTCAATTGGTGTTCACAATAACTGGGTAAAACTAGGATAAAATGTCGAACGGAAAAATTGAAAATTTACGAAATTTATGTATTAGTAAAAAAATATTACGGTCTTTTTTTTCTGTGTGTGACTTTTCTACCAGCAATTTTGCTCCGATTTACAATAATAGCAAACCTGACTGGAAGGCAAAATGGATATTATAATGGTTATACTTGGTAACTGTAAAAATTATATTGCATGATTTGACTTGCACTGGACAGTTTTTTGGGCAATATAACTCGCTCTAGATGCAACGGTGCAGTCAGGTGAAAAATGCTATATGTCATCTATCATTTAAATAATTAGATATTAAAATCACAATATATTATCGGGTGGCGCTTTTATCATACAATTTGGTATATTGCAATGACAGAACATTATCTGTGATACAAATTATGATATATCTAAGGTACAGGTATAAATATAAGTACAGTCATTCCTATACCCTTGTGATCCAATGTTTCTTTATAATAACAATATATTTATATATATACGTAAACTTAACTAAATACCCTCCCCTTAACTATAACCCTTCTAAATGTATAATTTATAACTTAAAAATACTTTAAATTGTGTAAATATTTTAAAAGCATCGTAATGTTTGAGTGTAGTAAAAATGATATGGGTATCAGATGCCTATTTCACTAATTAATGTAAATATTATTTTAAGAAGAAATTAAGCAAGTTAGGTTTTGTCTAGATATAGTATTATTTTAGACAAAACATTTTAAACATTAAAAAAAATATCACTGGTTTTTAATTTAAAAATACTTGATATTGTTTATATTACAGCTAACATTTCAAAATTTTTTATGTGTCTACGTACTTAAATTTACTTAGTTTAAATATTGACCTTCTTTATGACATAAAATACACTAATTTTTTTCCTATTAATCAGTTATATTACCTGCACGTTGGATCTATAAGAAAATGAAATTTGATCTACTATAGTATTATATGTATATTTCTTATATATTTTTATATCAAGTACTTTTTTTACTCCTTTAGAATAAATTATAATCATTCTATCTTTTAATAAAATATTTCAAATACTAAATTTAAAATTTATCTTTAAATTACTACATAATTTAATCGATTTTCCTGAGTTTTTGAAACGAATAAACTTCAGAGTAACTATTTAATTCTAGGACTAACTGTCCATTTTATTTATCTAATTTCAATTCAAATTAAATATCCAATTATTCAATTAATGTATCAGTCTATTAGTCGTTAATGTCTATTGGAAACTCTATTAATAACTTGAACTTGTTTAATATAACCCTAGAAAAGTTAAATAATTATTTTTCAGATTACTACCTAATTGTTAAATTTATATTAATAATTAAATATTTATCATTTATGTCTATATTATGTATATCATCTATTATTATATTACTACTATTGTCTATTATTGTGTTATATGTTTAAAATTAAAATTTTATTCCGTAAAATAAATTATTATTATTAACATTAAATTAATACATAAATATCAACATTTTTATAAGAGAGTATTTTAAATTAAAATTATATTTTCAAAATTTAAAATTTATATTATTTGAATTCAAAATCGATAGAGGAAAAAATTATAATGTACACCTCTGACACTTACAATAGGTACCTAATTATTTTCAAAAATAAATTGGTTAAAAGATTATACATTTTACAGTATGATAAACATGGCTTAATACATCCTGCAGATATATATTTTCAGTAAATAGGACAATAGTGTACTTTATATTAAAAAAAATAATATTATTTATTCAAAAAATATAGCATTCAACAAATTACGAGCTAAAATCAAATGGATGGGATGAGACGCGTGCAAGTATTTATTTTGAATTAGTTTGTAATGATTAAAATCTAATTTTGCTAACTAAAAACAACCCTGATATTTTAGTAGAGCTAGAAAAATAACTGCAGATTACAGTATTTGCTTTCATTTTTTCTTATTTCAGATTTTCAGATTTCCTGCAACGGGGCAATGAATTCTCGATATGTCAAATAAATATACTTATAAATACCTATAAATATACCTATTAACATACATAAATATTATTACATTTTAAAAAAAATATTCATAAAGTTTACTCAAATTTATTAGATACATTGTAATTTTTAGTTTTTTTATTGATATATTTTTAATGGAAAATAATAATTTTTTCTAATAATAAAAAAAAATTATATTTTATAATTCTTATTTATAAAAAATAACTATTTTGCATATTAAATAGTAGCCATGATATATTTTATTCACTTGTACTTTGTTTTACTTACTAATTTAATTTGTTATATTATTGTTTTAATAATATAAGTGAAATATTTATTTTTAAATTGTATACGAATTCTGTGAAGAGTTTGTGGTCTTGTGATCTCCCCCTTATTAGTTATTACGGTTGCAAGCTTCTACAGAGTGCACCTCAGAAGAGAGCTCACATTTTTATGCTAATTACAAAAAGAAATGGGAAGTGGCTTGTTCGGATGTTCCTATGAGTCAGTGTAGTTCTGGTGAAAGCATTGATACGACGTCGTTTGGTCAAAATGACCGACAGACGAACTTCAACCGTAATTTTTATTTTATGTGCTTTTGGAGTATCAAGTATTTTAGCTGCTTCCAAAAATATACCAAAATGGAAAAAACAGGTAAACATTATTAGTACCTAACAAGTTAATATGTATATAAGTATTAAGTTTATGTAGGTATTTATATTTTATCAAATAAATATATATAGAACTGTTATACTTCTATTGTTTCGTGTTTTCATAAAAATTAAAAATGTAAATTGTGAACTTTTGTGGATGTCGTTTCAATGTTTTTGTAGAATTGATTTTCAATGAAAAACAATTACATCTTAAGCGAAACAATAAGAGCTCATATACCTATAAACTGACTTTCTAATTATATGATTATCGTCGGTCACGTTGTATATGACACTGGCTAAGTCCGTGATCAGATCTGGTAGCCTAGTGACCTACTATACATATAAAGAAGGATGTATTAGCCGATGTTTCGATTTGTGGATCATATAAGTAATAATACATGTACCAGGTACCTAACCTACCCATATTCTAAAACGCTCAGGTTTCGTACAACGGTAAAATTGATAACCTATATTAACGGATACCTATGTATACACCATAAGTTAAACGAATTGTTACACACAACAATTTTCGTTACAAAAACGTATATATATTACGAGTATAATGAGTATACACTGAAATATTTTTGTGACTTATATAATATACAAAATAATTAATCGTTTATGGAATAGCATAAAAACATATTACTTGTACTCAGTATTTTTAAACATTTTGAATTCCTATACCATAACAAATTCAAATTCTTATAAATTGTAAAAACTTTTATCAGACATATTGTAAAAAAAAAAAAAATATATTAATATGATGCTCTATTAGAATTAGAAAGTATAAAGAAAGCAATTAAATTAAATATTGGTATAATAAAATTTACAAACCGATTATTGCTGCTTGTACGTATGATAAAAATAACTCGATAGTTGAATCTTAAAAAAAAAAAAAAACAATAAATACGAGTTTGAGAGTTAAACCAGTCATCAACGGATGGACATTAACATTTAACAGTAAAATTATTTATCACATCATAATTTATGTATATATATATATATATATATTATATATAGTTAGGTACTTATTATATTATAACCACACACCTACGAGTCTTAATATTACAGTTACAGTTGTATGTATAAGGGGGTACTTTGCATATATTATTATTATAATAGTTATTATACAATTCACCGAATTAGTGTCTAGTTTAAACATGTTTTTGAGCTTTAAATTCTTTAAAAAATAACAAATACAAATAAAAAATTACAAATCATCGGATTTCTAATTTCAAAAATATAACAAAAGTTCATCAGATTTCTTAAATATTTAACCAATGAATATGTATTATGTTTGTTTAAATATTTATTTAATTAATTAATAACAAGAAACTATATTTAATACATATTATATAAAAAAAAAACTTAACTTTGTTAAATAGTATCATAATAATTAATCATAATTATTGTTATTGTGACTTATTTATTTTGAAGTCATGCATGTTTTAACGATTGAAAAGTGAAATCTGATTTCTATTCGTGTACACGGAAAAGATGGTTTTACAAATATATAATAATTATTTATTGTTCGCTCTTTATTAGTTTTATTTATTTTTTTTTCAATAACTCACAAATAACAGTCGACGAATCATATGATAATTGCAATAATATTATGCTAAGCATCAACAAATTAAAAAAAAAAAAATGTTTTAATATAAAATACCAACTACATTAAACCGAATATACGTAATTACTTTCCCTCGCAGGCCTGTGAGGCGCCAGCAACGCAAAGTGAATCAAGTCATTACGTTTGCGACGACAATGGCGACATGAAATGTCTGCCTGGATGGATCGGAGACCTTTGTGATGTTCCAATTTGTAAGAAAGGTTGTGACCCAATTCAGGGTTACTGTAAACGACCAAATGAATGCCGTTGCAAGTTAGGTAAGCAGAAGACGTTACACATCATTAACTTGTTTACCGTACAGTCATTTTACAAACAATACTTGTATTAATAATAACAATGATTTAGGTTTTTACGGAGAAATGTGCAACAAGTGTATAGCACTGCCTGGCTGTCAACATGGTTACTGCAACAATAGTTTCGAATGCAAGTGCTTGGAAGGCTGGGATGGCATATTCTGTTCAGAACGTAATGATGATTTTTTATTGAAAGTAAAGAAAAATATATGGACGATGCATTAAAATTATCTAAATGATTTACATGTTTTATTTATGTTCAACGTACTATAGCGGTCTGTCATGAAGACTGTCATCCAAGTAAGGGGTACTGTGACTGGCCAGGAGAATGTAGGTATGTACCCAATATTATGTATTTCGTTTTTTTATAAGAACGATTAGAAAACATATTTCGATCATGATGATTGAATGCACAGTGGTATTTAAAGGTGAATTGTTTTCAGGGTATCGCGGCAAAATATATAAAAATGTGTTGGGTTTAAAGCATCAAATTTCAAATGCATGTCATTTATTTTGTTGCATTTGTTTATAATGCAAAAGGTTATCAGTTAATGAATTTATTCAATTTGTGATAATGTATTAATAACCCACATAATTATTATTGTTTTAACACCTTACACACTATGTATATTACTAATGAATATTATATTTTGGTAAATAATATTAATTCTCAAGGTACTATGTAGGTATTATACAAATTAATCCAAAATAACTACTGTATACACCTAAAATCTTAATTATTATAATTGTATTAAGTCTAATGTGGTAACTAAGTAATATATTTTCTCAAAAAGTAAACAAATAAGTAGGTACTTATACTAACTCTCATTTTTAAATTGTTAAGGTATCCTATATCTATGTAAGACTATAATTATTTCTTTGACCTTTAATCTCCTCTCTTTCTATTGTGGTATTAGCAGAGCAATAATTATGGTACATCATTGAGTTAGAAAATTGAAAATTGATACAAAAAAATATAATATACCTACTTATTATAATAATATGTTTATACAAATATTATGTTTAATTATATTAAGTGTGTCGTATGGAACATAAAATCTTTTATTCGATAAAAAGAAAAAATAGTATTAGAATTAAAATTTAAAATGTAATACTATTATTAAAATTAAAATGTCTATACATAGATTAAATTTTACCAGTCTAGAAAAGTCAAACCTAAATTTTTCTGTTAAAATGTCAAGTCTCCACGAACATTTTGAAATGAATTACAACAAAAAAACAAAATTTAAAATAACAAAAACATTATTTTTCGTAAATTTTTCTGTTTTTTCCCAATTATTATGAACTGCTTGGAAAATAAAAAATTATCTCCTTAGAGTACCAGCCCAGTTAAATTTCCTCTCAGAAAGATTGCTATACTTTAAATCGGAGCGAAATGTCTAGTAGAAAAGCTGTTCTTAGAAGAAAAAAAATAAACATCATTGTAAAACCAATACATTTCTCAATCCGCTTAAAATCTAAAATAATACATTTAATCTAAACGTGTAATAAACGTGTTGTATTATATATCTTGTCTATCTGTTAAAAATGGTAAAGATGCCGTTTGGGATGGACCGGAGATCTATGCAAGGAATGTCAACCATTACCCGGGTGTATGCACGGAACGTGTGCTAAGCCTTTAGAGTGTCGATGTGAAAAGGGATGGCAAGGAATTCTGTGTCAGATACGTGAGTAAACATTTATTTATATTTTATTACGTATATAGGTACAAATTTCTCATTGTATTTACGAATTAATTTTATTTTCAGCCGTGTGTTCCGAAGGCTGTCATCGGGATCGGGGTTATTGTCGTAAGCCAAACGAATGCAGGTATAGTATATTTTACTGATTTAAAATATTACTATAGTCATTAAACACTGATTTAATGATAATCGAAGGTGTAAGGTTGGATGGTGGGGTAAGAACTGCTCACAGTGTTTCCCGTATCCGGGTTGTGTTAATGGAACGTGCAATCGCCCATGGGAATGCAACTGTAGACCCGGCTGGGGTGGTATGCTTTGCGATCAAGGTAATGAAAACCAGCCAGTTATAAAAAAATATGTTTGGAAGTAATCATCGGTTGTATTTTTAGAACTGAAATACTGTGAGACTAACAACATCACATGTCAAAATGGAGCCACTTGTGTAAGTCTACCCGAAGAAGACGGAAATTATAGGTGCCTGTGCGCTGAAGGATATATTGGGCGGAATTGTGAAGTAGATAAAAAAAAGGTAACTTAGGCATCCAGTTATACAATGCATGCAGCTATAGACAATAATTACAATTTATTGTAATAATCTACAGATAAATATAAACTTACGAAAATATACATTTAATAACGGAGTTAAAATAACTGTAAAAACAACTTTTAAGGTATTACCAGATAAAGTAGTTATTGTTGTAAACTAGATGCCTGAGGTAGGTAATAATGAAAAATAAACGTTTTTACACTATAGCCTCAGTCGATGACAAGAAGAATCAATTAAAAGAATTTACAAAAACAAAATATGTAATAATAACGACGTCAATCATATTTTTGTACAAAGATTAGGTTTATTATTTATTAGCTTTTATTAGAATTTTAGTAGATTTTAGTACTATTCTCGGTATTGTTATTTTTTAATAATATTTCACTGTTATTTAAATAGCAATTGATAATTGAATATTTACCTATCATATTTTTATTTACAGGTAGAAATCGTAGGGTTAGAACCTCCTAAACCTAGTATGATATTACTAAAACCATCAACAACCACTCCTTCGACTGTGTCTGAAGATTTATTACTTGAGAGTGACGATGAATACGAGGAGGACACTATAAAGCCCAATTCTTCCATATCAATCGTAAACGATAATGATTCACTCAATGAAACAGTTTGAAACTAAAAGCAATATCAAATAATATCTGTTTATCTTGAAATTACTTATCTAAGTTTTATTTATTTATTTATTTATTTATTTATTTATTTATTTATTTATTTATTTATATATTTATTTATATATTTATTTATTTGTTTATTTATCTCAATAATGTTGTACTGATAAAATTAGTTTAAAACGCATAATATAATCTTTATAATTTATATGTACTGATTACCAATATGATATTAACGAAAATAATAACAATTCATACTTGATAACTTGAAACAAGTGTTTAATATAATATGAAACTGAATTCGAATGTTTACCGTAGCTGTTTATTATCATCGTGATTACTCGTTTAGTAAAACAAAATTTTCAGTTTGTAATAATTTTTACTATTTTATACGATTGGGTGAAATATGTATACCATTTTTAATTATAATTTATACAACTTTTAAATGCATAAATGTTACATTTTTTTTAGCATTCGTTATAGTAAAAAATAAATATTATGAAATTATTAAACAAAGTGTTTATTTCAGAAATCGGTGTTATAATATCGGTTTCTGACACAGTAGCTAGATATTTGATCTTCAATTCGAAAAACAAGACAAATATGGTTTCTGAATCCTTATAAAGTACTGGATGTACTTCAAAAATATTGCAATAAATAGCTTTTATTTCTATAAGTTTTTTACACTAATGAAATTTCAGTATCAATGAATAATATTACATTTACAATTTAATAGCTAAAATACGTAAATTTAATTTAATAATTTCAATTTTAATTTGATGAAATGTATGGATTTGTGTAATTTTAGTAAACAACTGTGCGATATGGAAAATAGTACATCTATATTAGTGTTTTTTGTTAATGGTAAAAAGGTACGTACAAAAAATTATAATTATAAATACTTTTATACAGTGGACTACTCAAAATTCTTTATTACGGGGAGGGACAGGGCTAAATAACTAAATAACTTGATAGACAAAAAATGTTTTAAAAATACATAATTATGTAATACAATACATGATTTGTACTTAATTGAATAAATAGTGCAAATACCAAAGGTTAATTTATTAACAACTTAACTTTTCATACTTACTCCATATCTACTGAATCTTAATTCAGTATATTATATAGTATAAATTATGGCATTTTAAAATATTATGTTAACCGAACTATGCTCAGAACCGTACTTCGAATAAACTAAATTACATTAATCAAATACGTTATTTTAATTTTATTAATTTGGCATAAATACATTTTTTTAATACCATCAATCTTAGTTATTTCAAACTTTTAATAGCTACTTGAAATACACGTGTATTTAAATAATACACTGATTTTAACACACTGATTCATTATTTTCATATCATAATAAAATATTAATCTTTTGATATTTAAGAGCAATAACGATAGTATAATTACATAGATCACAATTATTAACACTAATTCATTCATATTTAAACGTATATACCACGTAAGTAGTCTTATATCTGATAAGATATAAGATGCATTGTCTTATTTATGCACATCATGTATACCTATATTTATTTAATAACGTTTACTTATTGCCAACAGCTACCGGAGTCTGATCATCTGATTATAACCTAATCTCAGAAAGTCATTATGGTATACATAAAGTTATTTAATTTATACCTCTAATCATTGATAAAAAATTGCTAACGAAATACGATTCACAGTGAAGTTCGGGTAAACGCCTGTTTTGAAGAGCTTTAATATTTTTGATTTTCGTCAACATTAGATTTTAAAACTGCTATAAAAAAAAAAAAAAAAAAATACTACATTATACTCAATTTTCAAGCAATTCTGTTTAATCTAACAATTTTATCTACAAAGTACCTACCATATAAAAATTACGTAAAAAATCGTAAAATTAAACTGTCTATAAATAGATCAAATATGATCCAAATGTTTTGAACATTTTACTGCGTCTAGAAAAAGCAAATATAAAATGTATGTCAAAATTTATTTCAAGTCTCTAAGAATATTTCAAATTAAATTTTATCAAAAAAACAAAATTTAAAATAATGAAAACGTAACGCCGCAAATTTGTCAGCTTTCATTTTACGGTTTTTTCCGATTTTTCCTAATATTTAATAAAACTACAATGTAAATTAAAAAACGAATATTTTACACACGAATAAGATTAAAAATGCAACAAAAAAGGTCTCTCGTTAATTTTCATTGGAGCAATATTTTTGGTAGTAACCATTTGCCGTGAAAATTAATAATGAAATCGTTGTGCCGTAATTTTAAAAAAATCTTATTTTTCGTCCTTTTGAGTTTTTTCCAACTATAATGAAAACTACTTTAGATATCAAGAAAATAACTTTCCCTGCCAGTGGCTATAATATGTATATTTAAAGGAATAAAATCAATCTCTTTTCATTTTTCGATTGGAACAAAATTTCTGGTAGAAAAGTTGTTCACAAGCAAAAAAAAAATAAAAACCACACATCATATTATGATATATAGTAAAACATAATAAAATCGATATATCCCTCACTACGCTCCGAAGTGTAGTTATTAAAAGCGTATTTGATTAATATACCTAGAAACTATAATATTATTATTATTGATGTTTACTTACAAATTTCTTTTCTTCCCTTCTCTTCCCAATCTAAAAAGAATACTGATCGGACCCTCGTTGTTCAAATATTTAATTATGTAAGCATGTCTTGTATAAACCATATTGTATGTATATTCGAATGTATAATTAAAGGTAATCGAAATGAACGCTGATCCACATTGGACTTTACTTTACTTTTTAAGAAATAAACGTATCCTTTTAAATCATTGTTTTTATATTTTTAGACTAAAAATTTAAAATATAACATGATACAATTTATGAATACTAATCAATAACTATTTATAAAAGTTTCGTTAATTGTATCAATTCAGTATGTTTATTTGGAACCAAGTTAGGATGTGCTGAAGGAGGATGTGGAGCGTGTACCGTAATGATTTCGAAATACGATCACGAGAAGAAATCTCCACTGTATCCTTTATAATTAAACTAAAAACTTTCGAAAGTAAGTGTGTACTCACTTTAGTTAAGCTACACAAATATTACTTTCATATATTATATAACATTATAAATAAACACACTGTGACTGCACATATCTATGTACAAAGATAAATGTTCTTTAATTGGCAGTTTCCAATATTAGACACATGTCTGTGAACGCTTGTTTATGTCCTGTAGTAAGCGTACACGGATGTTCAATAGTAACTGTCGAAGGTATTGGTAACACTAAAACGCGATTGCATCCCATACAAGATAGAATAGCGAAAAGTCACGGATCACAATGCGGTTTTTGTACACCCGGTATTGTAATGTCGGTTTACGCTATGCTCAGATCTTTGGGGAAAACACCCAACAAAAAAGACTTGGAAATAGCTTTACAAGGTATAGTCGACAATCGTACACATAATAATATACCATATATATAATACAATGTATACGTAGGTATAGGTAAGCTAAAATGTTAAGACTATTTTTTTTTAAACTATTTTTTGTTTCAGGAAACTTGTGTAGGTGTACGGGATACAGACCGATTTTAGAAGGATTGATGACATTGACTGCCAATTATAAAGTCCCTGTGAGTGGATGCCCAAAAGAAAACAACTGTTGTACAAAGATAAAAGTGATTGGAAATAATGTAGAGAATACGACAAATTCTTCGGATTTTTTACCATATGACCCGTCTCAAGAACCAATATTTCCACCAGAACTTATGGTGAGAAAAAAAAAATCTTATGTTTTGTGTATTTCAAGTATTTATGTACCTAGCTAACAAAAGACTACGACGAAGAGTATTTGATATTTAGAGGTAGAAAAACTATGTGGTATAGACCGACATCACTTTTTGAACTATTGGAACTCAAGTCTAAATATCCTAATGCGCGAATAATTGTTGGAAACACTGAAGTTGGTAAGTATTTCATTTAATTTAAACAAAAATATAGTTAATTTAATGAACAAAATCGTTACAAAACTGTTACTTATCGAAAATATAGGAATTGAAATAAAATTCAAGTCTTGTCAATATTCCGTAATGATACAACCGAATAAAGTATCAGAATTAAACGTTGTTAAGGTGAGTGCTGAGGGATTGATTGTTGGAGCTGCGGTAACCATTGACAAATTAGAAAATCAATTAAAGAAATTGGTTGATACCATGCCGGGTAAATAATTTTGATTGATTGGCAAGTGCTATTATACTACATATTTTAAAATTTTAAGATATTGATTACTATACAAATATACCTTTTTGGTTATTAATATTTGTCAGAAATCATATTTTTCCTTAATATTTTTGTTGGCCACTTTTCATCAGTTTATATTTAAATGTAAAAATAGGTTAGTTTTTTTAAGACAATATTAATATTATAACAAAAATAAATAAATAAATAAAAATTACTACCTCACTCTTCTTTTCATGGCTGCAATCACCCTTTTAATCGTATGCTTCGCAGGTTTAACAATACGTCGTAACTGTGGCTTAATATTTGGACTATTATATAATATTATATAATTATTCTTTGTCTATGTTTAAAAATTATTCAACTTCTGTCAAGTACTCAGTACATATTTAGTATTATAAGCATCTTTAATTTTTTGTAAATTGCCTGATTGGGCGTAAGTTAATTAAAAAAAATAATAATAATAACAAAATAAAAACGTTTTGTTTCAAAAAGGTCGTTTATCATTGACACATTTACGGGTGTCAAAAATTAAATAACGACTTATTTCTTTGGTTTTAGATTATAAAGTTCAAGTAATAAAGTCTATATTGGAGATGATACCGTCGTTTGCTAGTAAACAAATTCGTAATGTTGCTGTTAGTGTAGTAAATATAATAGTAATAGTTGTCTAGTATTAAAGTTACTGAAATTTAATGATATTATAATTTTCGAAAGTGTATAGCCGGAAATATTGTAACAGGAAGTCCTATATCGGATTTGAATCCAATATTTTTAGCTGCTCGTTGTCAATTAAAGGTACAGAGTAAAGGTAATGGCAGTTTTATTTTTATATTTTAAAAATATACTTGTTTTGTATACACGTGTTATTTTTATTTATTTTTTTTTTTTTAGAAAACGGAACAAGATTTTTAAAAATGGACAGAACCTTTTTTACTGGTTACCGAAAAAATTCTATACACGCAAATGAAATCCTAATAGACTTGTTCATTCCCTTTTCACAAAAAGTAAAACATTAAAAAAATAAAAATAATATTATTATATATTATATTATATTATATATAATATATTTAAATTAATAAAAAAAAAGACGTCCTAAGATAATTGGGATAATTCAATGTATACCTATAAGCAATAATAAACCATTGCTTACGAAAAAACAATTCTGAGTGGAATCAGTTGATGCTTTGTCAACAATACATATGTCATTTTATATTAAAAAAATTAAATAGGCTTTATATATTTTCTTTAATAATATTTGTTTAACGTTGTACCAATTTTTCCAATTTTCCTACGTTTTTCACGGTTTTCCTATTTTTTATCCCGGTTTTTCACATTTTCTGAGAAAACTAAGGAAAATCGAAAAATGACCTTTTTAAAGAACCTCCCTAGTGAAATTTACTATTAGAAACATTGCTATTCGTACATTTTCCCGGTGTTTTTTTCGGTTTTCAAATTTGATAAGAAAATTAAAAAATGACCTCTCTAAAGTGCTTCCCTCTTTCTGAAAAGGTGTTACACGTAAAAAACTGAGCAAGTATTCCGGTAAAAAAGTTGTGAACAGATAAAAAAAAATAAACATCTAGGTAAAACTATGATCTTCTCTCAGAATTTAAAATATTGTTTTAGAATACTTTTTTCAAGTCAATTAAACAATCAAGAAGAAAAGAAGACGATATAGCTTTGGTGAATGCTGCATTTTTTATAAAAATATCGAAGAACGTAGTAAAAGATGCAGAATTTGTTTTTGGCGGAATGTCAGCTACTACAGTTTTTGCTAGGAAAACAAAAAAACTAATAATTAACAGAGAATGGACAGACTCCATGTTAGATGGTATATACTTGGAGTTGCTTAAAGATTTACCTTTGGCATCAAATGCACCCGGTGGAATGGTAACTTATCGCAAAACCCTTTCTCTGAGGTAAATGTTTTGTAGCAAAATACAGTATAGTTACGAGATGTTATATTGTACTTTATATTATTATTGCTATTGTATTTTTAGTTTATTTTTTAAATTTTATAACTATGTGTGCGAACAATTAAGTCTGAAAACGATAGACTTTCAAGTGAACGATACAAATGATGTATTTAAGTATGCTCAGTATTATCAAATCGTCGGCAATTCTCAATGTTCAAACGATACTATCGGCAAACCATTAATTCATAGGTCGGCTATACAACAAACTACAGGTAACTTTTACAGACTAAATGAAATTTAAATTTATTATAACACAAATTAATACTACTGCAATTTTACATCGTAAATATAATAAATAAGTATATATTTCGTTTTCAGGCGAAGCGGTTTATTGTGATGATATACCTCGGTACTCAAACGAAACTTATTTAGCGGTTAAAACTTCTATTTATGCCCATGCCAAAATTACTAGTATAGACTACACCGATGCTCTGTCGTACCCTGGAGTGATAGCGATAGTAGATGAAAAAGATTTACCTGGAAGTCGTAACATGGTTGGTGTAACACCGATTAAAGATGACTATGTTTTCGCTAGAGGAAAGGTTTGTAGTAAATTTTTTTTCCACTGAAATACTTTTTAACGTTTCTAAATAAACCATGTTGTTTAGGTAGTCAATTTCGGGCAAATAATCTGCGGATTAGTTGCTATCGATCCAATCATTGCACAAGAAGCAGTCGACAAAATCCATGTTCAGTACGAAGAACTAAAACCGATAATTACCATTGAGGTTTGTAAATTATCTAGTAATCATTAATTTGAACAATATATTGTAATGTGCACCACAACCAGTACATATATAAAGGTATTTTAATGATTTAAACTTTCGATTTGATCTCATTAGTCGTTTTAAGTTATTGATAATGAAAATTAGTCACTCAAATCGAATAATAAATAACGTATAACAATATTGAATGGAGGAATTTTAGCGTTTTTGATTTGGCGCACACAAAATTACACCTCAATCAATTTTAGCGAGTGCGTTATTTGAGCTTACGTCATAAAAACGTATTTATCAAAACACAAGAGTAGCTACAAAATAATATATACTAGGTTATGCACATTGCACTTGTTGTTTACTCTATTATATTAATTGTAGTTCTGTAGATATTTATAATCATATTTTGAACTTTATACTAGTATTACATTTTCGATAATAATATATATTCAATGGATTCTGCATGTCTGCCATATGAACGTTACACTTTATTTTCTATAGAAAATTAAATTATCAATGAAATGACTCACATAGTCAACCTCAACTCTTACGTGCAATCTATATACCTAGTATAGATCTTGTATTTTATGAAATATCCTAACATTTTATTACTTATTTTAATAATATTCAGTATATTACAACACTTGTATATTTGTTGTTGCCACATAATTTTTTTTGATTTTAATTAATTTGTTTTATTTTAGTTTTATATATTATTATTCAAATCAACTGCATAATACTTAGAAACATTAGGTACAAAAATAAAAGGCAATACACTTCTATGGTACAGTCAAATGATACACACACATATATATATATGTATAAATATAGTTAGGGTCATTAGTAATGTACTAATGTATAATAAATGGTTGCAGGAAGCTATTGAAAATAAATCTTTTTATGATGGTCGATGTGTTTACTGGCAAAAAGGGTGTGTAGATCAAGCATTCAAGGAATCGAAACGATCTGTAACAGGTACACTGAGAATTGGAGGCCAAGATCATTTTTATTTAGAAACGCATTGTTGTTTGGCGATACCGTTAAACGAAAACAACGAGATTGAAATAATTAGTTCGACACAATCGCCGAGTGAACTTCAGGTAGGTATCTATTATTATTTATTTATTTTAAATTCCATATAATATTATAATGATATTTTCTTATTATGAATAGGAAACTATCGCGCATTGTTTAGACATACCAGAAAATCGTGTAGTTTGCAAAACAAAACGTCTAGGTGGTGGGTTTGGCGGTAAAGAAACTAAAGCATTTATTATAGCTGTGCCGTGTGCAGTAGCCGCCGTAAAGTAAGAACTATCGCTATAAAATTAATTTATATTTTTTTAAATTAAGTCCTAAAATTAGATTTTATTTTTGATTACTTTTTGTTCTAGAACTGGGAAACCAGTTAGATGTATGTTGGACAGACACGAAGACATGGTAATCTCAGGTGGCAGAAATCCATTTCTGTGCTGTTATAATGTAGGATTCGATGAAAGTGGACAAATTCAGGTTTTAGATGTTTCTGTATACAACAACGCTGGGAGTTCCAGGGATTTATCATTCGGAGTAAGGGTTTTATACAATTTTTTTATTTAAATATTCCATAGGTCTTATCCCGTTTTGTCACCGTATCATTACACCGCTGTCCCATTTCGTCACCAAATTAATCCAATTTCGCCGTACAGTTCTCAAATTATTTTTTTTTTTTATATATATATATATAAACATAGTTATGGATTTGTAATTAGTAAAGCAATAGAAATGACAAAAATTTGCATGGAAGACACACAGTATAAAATAAGCGTTAAATATGCGAAGTCAGAAGATTTTGAAGTAAAAACTGGCTTAAAGCACGGAGATTTACTATCCTTTACTCTATTTAATATATCTTTGGAGAAAGCTATAAGAGAATTACAAATGGAATGGATGCAACTGGAGTGGAAATTGGCTAATAACATATTCAAGTACTGGGTTTTGCAGATGATTTAATTATCAGAGACCCCCTGATACGGGGTCTCTAACTTTCGAAAAAGTCGATGAATTTCCATATCTAGGAGCAATGCTAAACACTAAAAATTATTGGTTGAAGGAAAAAGGAGTGAGGATGACAAAGGCTGAAAGATTGGCACTTGCCTTAAGTAAATTCTTAAAATCAAAATTATTTTCAAAGAAAACCAACACTAGATTATATACACGGTAATAATAAGGCCTACGCTAACCTATGGCTGTGGAGCTTGAACCACCTCCAGTACAACCGAAAGAAGGCTCAGGACTTTTTAAAACAGAATTTGGAGGACAATATTTGGACCAACTTATGATAACGATAATGCAACTTAGATAAAACAATTTACAAAGAACTGCAAGACGAACTGGGAATTATATCAGTCATCAGCTTCATAAGAGGGCAAAGGATTCAGTGGTTAGAACACGGGATGTGGACAAACAAGGATGATAATTATGTAGAACAGTCCTAAACTGGAAACAATGGGAAGAAGCCCTCTAGGTAGACCCAGGAAAAAGTGTCTGGATGTTGTGGTAAAAGACCTTGAAAGGTTAGGAGTACAAGAATGGAGGGAATTAGTTTAGGACCGAGAAAAATGGAGGAATATTGTTATGGCGACCAAAAATCTTAAAGAGTATTAAATGCCAGAAGAAAAAGAAGAAAACAATAGATGGAAACAGTGAACGATATATCATTTGAAACGATTTTAGTACTTATCGAGTTAAATTTTTTCTTTGTTAACTTTTAACTTTTAACTGAAGGAAATTGAATTGAATTAACTTGCAATAATTAATTATTTTCATTAATATATTGCCCATCTTTGGTAATTTGTAACTTCTAAGTAAATACCGGATTTAATTGTATTTACAACACATACAAATTTCATATTAAAATTATATAGTTGCACCAAAAAATACGTAAAAATTGCACTATAAAAATGCAAAAGTTATATAAAAAAAATTAGATAAATGTTACTTTTTTAATTAAAATTGATAATTAGATACATTTCTAAATTATTTTCATTAAATTTTATCTTTTATTCCTTAAAATATGTTTGTATAACGAAAAACTACGTTTTACGTTCTACGTCTACACTAGTTATTGATGCATATTTAAAATAATTTAATAAAGTAAGCGTTATATCTAAATTAACATTCGCTTAACTTGAATCGCACATTGAAACGTCGAAAATTGAAAAAAATTGAATTAAATAGGCAGAATATTTTTCGTATATATCGTTTATATATTTAATCAGATCTGATTTATCTTTATTGCAATAAAAGTTGTTATATCAACTAAATTCGGTATTTACTTATAAGTTATGTTAAGTTACTCGAAAAATAAATTCGGGGAAATTAAACGGCGATGAAATGGAAGGGAGATTAAATGGAAGCTGACCATTGTATAAACATCTTAAAATTTTTATATTTTTGATCTGTTTATAGACAATGGAAAGGTGTTCTTGTCACATAACCAATACTTATAATATACCTCATGTTAAAGTGTCAGGGTATTCTTGTGCCACAAACTTAGCGTCAAACACGGCGTTTAGAGGATTTGGGGCACCCCAAGGGATGTTTTTCATCGAGTCTATTATCGATCATATATCCAGAGAATTAAACGTCTCTTCCAATATAGTGAGAGAAAATAATTTTTTTGCTAACGGTCACATCACGCATTATAATCAATTGATATCTAATTTTACCGCCAAATACTGTTGGGACGAAGTGTTGGAACGCTCAAAATATACCGTTAAATCTGACGACATCAAAGAATTCAACAGGTATGCCTATAATATATTATATACCTAGCATCATTTAGAGCGATTTGTTATTCAACACAGTGATATATATAGACCAGAATTGAACAGCCAAGCTATTGAGAAAATCTTGGTGGCAAGTATAGAGTAACATACATAGAAATACCATTGTTTTCATAAATTGAAGCTAGTACTTCAACTCTTTTTTTAAAACTATCATTTTATACAAATTAATTGAATATTGTATAGTTTGGTGTATATGCATCAACCAAATAAATTCAGATTAAATAATAATTGCAAATAACCATTATGCATATTGTAGTATTTCTAAACAAAATATTATAAATAATGATTACTTTTGTTTCATTATAATATTTGTGAGAATTTAGTATTATTACTTGATCAGCTTATGATCAAATCATTAAAAAAAAAAAAGACAATAATAATATATAAAACAAATTATGTGCGCCACCTGGCACCTATAACAGATAGGTATTTGGGAAGGTAGGGCGCCCCACTCTTGTAGGTGGGAAGTTGGAAAAATAGGATACATTAAGTTATTTGAATTATACCTGTAAGCAAAGATAAATCATTGCTAACGAAAAAGGATTCGGATTGAAGTTATTGAAGTTAAAGATATGTTTTTAAAGTAGGTAGTATTTACGATTTTTGTTAAAATTTGATTTTAAAACTTATATATGTATAAAATACTACTATGTTTTTTTGTACCACTAAGTACGACTTATAATGATTATCATGTCAATTTTCAAATATTTCTATTTGATCAAACAATTTTATCTACAGAATACCTACCAAATAAAAATTACGTAAGTACTCGTAAAATTAAAATGCCAAAATGCATGAATTATGAGTACCGCACAATAAAAACAAATTTGAAAACCATTAATCAACATATTTTATTTTGTAAGTTTGTATCTAAATTTTAACTGTCATAAACCGTAATATATTTTTTTGATAAAATACATTGCACCTGGTGCACGATTTGAAATCTTTGAATAATTTGTTTACACCCATGATATGATTAATTATTTTAATAAAAAACAAAAGTAATTTTGAATATTATGATGTTTCTATTACCATTACAAACACATAACACAGTCTTGTTTATGATGAACAAATAAATTAAACAATGAAAATAATTATGATAGCGATAACATTTAAGCAGTTGTGGTGGTTACTTGTATTAACCAACATGTTCCGATTGGTTCCAATGGTGTTATAATGTACACATCGTGGTTATATAATACCTATGGACGTAATATTTTATATAATGTGTGGTATTAAATATTAATATAGTCACTGTTAAAAAAAATAACAGTAACTATTAATTTTTCTTCCATGTAACAACTTGTTATTTTTACTCGTCTAGTACCTGTTACTAATAACTGTTGTTGTTATTTTTTATCACCACTAGTGCACCTGTATATTATCATATATTGACATCTCATAGTATTTTAATCTATAAAAAATAGTAGTTCTGAAAAAGCAGTCTAAATTCTGACTTCAATTATTTAGTTATACAGACATTGTAGAAAACGGCCCCTCTATATTCTGTGGTGGGAATTGGGTCACACAAAATAATACTTATTTTCAATTAAATTCATATCAATTGGTTTTTTTTTCGTATAATTTTGAGACGGTGTAAATCGTAAAACTCGAGGAGCCGATACGTTTCCTATTCGGCGCTGGATCATTTTTTCATGGGAGGGGAGCGAATTTAAGTTAACTATACATTTTATTTTAACTAGTATAAACATTCATAAATATATTAGTACTATTTATTTATTCTAATGTCATAAATTCATAATAAACACATACAAAACAATATAGATGAAAATGTGAAAATTTGGGAAATCTTTATCATATTGCCCGTTACGTAATTAATAATTAATTATTAGTATATAATTACGTCACTGGTTTACGATAAATGTACGTGATTCGTAACTTCGTAGATCAAACCGGTGGAAGAAACGAGGCGTTGCGGCAGTGCCGACAATGTATGGTATTGCGTTTGCGGGAGGATCAACGTTTTTAAATCAAGCTGGCGCTTTGTTACTGGTTTACGCTGACGGATCCGTATTGTTATCACATGGTGGTGTTGAAATGGGCCAGGGATTGCACACGAAAATGATTCAAGTAGCTAGCAGGTGCTTGGGTATATCGGCGGAATTGATACACGTCAAAGAAACTAGTACTGACAAAGTTGCCAACGCGTCGCCAACGGCCGGCAGTTTTAGTTCTGATCTCAACGGAATGGCCGTGCTCGTAAGTATATCGATTATTTATAACATATGTATGCAAATACGGTCTATTTTTAATGGCGATAATTTTCAGAACGCCTGTGAAATCATCAACAAAAGATTGGAACCGTTCAGAAAAAGAAACCCAACAGGCTCGTGGGCCGATTGGGTGAAAATGGCATATTTCGACAAAGTGAATCTGTGCGTCTCGGGATTTTACGCGTAAGCCATCACTTATGATTTATCCTATATAAAATGTGATCTCAGAATTAAAATTTAATCTTCTCCGTTATAATCTATGTATAAATATCGTGTAGTGTTTTTTTTTTTTTTTTTTTTTTTTTATATAGTTTATTAATACAGAGAAAGATCCAGAAAAATATAAATTCACGTGGTAGACGAGGATTTGGAAAATTTGAGAGTTTAAAACTGGAGAGATGAAAATTTAAGGTAGAGATAGTGTAGCAATGGTTTTAGAAGCTCTTAGAAATAATAATCATATTATCAGAATATAGATGGATAAATTGATAGATAGATAGATAGAAAGAGAGAGAGAGAGAGAGAAAGAGATTGAAATGATTGAAATTCCTATTTTAGTACACAGGGTAATCAACTTAACATAAGACACTTATTATCTCGGAAAGTATTATATTTTTTTAGAATTAGCTTTTCAGAACAATTAAGAAATGAATAGCTCTAAAATTTTACATTATTACTCTTTATTTGTTACCCTTATTTTAGGGATTAAAACCACTACCTACTTTTGGTTTTCAAATGGCAACCTATTGGAACCGAATGGAACACTATTAAAAAGCCACGCGCCGTGAATGCCAACATAGAAATGATACACCACTTCACTCCCCCCATCGAAACTACAAAGTAAAATATCGCATTAACTGGTTGACGAAAATTAAAAATTGATTTAAACTAATACTTCGTGTATTAATGGTATTTTAACATAGATTACCATTTAAAAATAAAAAGTAGGTTGTGGTTTCAATCTCTAAAATAAAGATGACAAAAAAAAGAGTAATATATAACATTTTCAAGTTACTGATTTCTTAAATATTCTAAAAAGCTAATTCCAAAAAAAATGTATTTCTTTCTGAGATAATTCCGGGTACAGCCCGGAATTGTTATAAATAATTTAATGTATACCTGTAGGCAACGATAAACAATTTCTTACGAAAATACGATTCTGAGTGGTGTTCAGTTGATAGAAATGTTTTGTGAACAACATATATGTCATTTAATAGTAAAATAATTAAATAGATTTAATATATTTTCTTTAATAATATTTGTTTAAATATACCGATTTTTCCAATTTCCTAAGTTTTTCCCGGTTTTTCACATTTTCAGGGAAAAATTCTGAGAAAATCGAAAAATTACATTTTCAAAATATCTCCCCACACCGATTTCCTTTCAGAAAAGACGTTACACTTAGAAATCTGAGCAAGTCTTCTAGTAGAAAAATTGTTAGCAGATAAAAAAAAAAAATAAAAATCTTTTAAAACCATAAGCTTCTTCGCTCCACTCAGAATCTAAGACTTAAAAACTTACACCAGTATCTTACCCGTCTATTCTTTACTCATTTTTTTACATTATATATTAATGATTTTTATATTGATTTCGATAGTTAATAATTAAAAGGAATAATAGTAATTATGTTAGATAACCATGAAAATTAATTACTTGGTTGTATGCATGCAGAAATCACACTATAGGAACAACAACAGACCAAGGCACGGTCAACTATTATTTGTATTATACTAGCGGAGCAGCCGTTTCAATCGTAGAAGTAGACTGTTTGACTGGTGACCATGAAGTATATACTGGGTGTTTCATTTGATCTCCATTAAACAGGTTTTCATAATAAAATAATGTTTTTCTGTTGCCCATTAGGTTTTAAGTACAGACATAGTAATGGACGTTGGTCAAAGCTTGAATCCGGCAATTGATGTGGGGCAAATTGAAGGGGCTTTTATGCAAGGTTACGGATTGTTTACATTAGAAGAACTCGTATACAGCCCGAAAGGAATATTGTACACGAGAGGACCCGGTACATATAAAATACCTGGTTTTTCGGATATACCGAAAACATTTACAGTTTCATTGCTGAAAGGTTCAGAAAATCCAAGAGCGGTTTATTCGTCGAAAGTACCTATATAAAAGAGAACTTTCAAAAAAAGAATTGTACACCTACATGATATAATGGTTTTGTTTAGGCTGTTGGAGAACCACCGTTATTTTTGTCAGCTTCAATATTTTTTGCCATCAAAAACGCTGTATATTCGGCTAGAGAAGACGCTGGCATCACAGATTATTTCAGGCTAGACGCTCCAGCGACTGTTGAAAAAATTAGAATGGCTTGTAACGACAATATTACTAACAAGGTTAGGTTAATACCAATAAATTAAGTACCTCGTTTGTATAACATATATTTGTTTTTCCCTTGTAAAGCTACTACAGGAAGGATATGAAACTAATTCAATTGATCCGTGGAACAAAATTGTTTAAAATTAAGTATTTTTTGATAAAGTGTAAAATCATGTAGGTATCTAATAGTCAATTATTAAATAAAGGTAGATATTTTTAATTAAAGATATTATCACACGCGTGTCTATAAATAAGTAATAAGTATAATAAAAGTAATAATTTTATGTACCTATGAGCACTTTTATGTACCTATGAGCACTTTTATGTACCCTATTAAGTTATTTAAAAAATATAATAATTCAATCTGTACATTGTTATAATTTCAATACTTGTATTATGGAAATATTAAGTACAAGTTACGAGTATAATCAATTTTATTTGTGGTTCATTTAAAAATTAATTTTCAATAAATTAATCCTATCCTTTATACTAAAGAGGCGTATTTCGTTTGTTCGTATAAAATATTATTAGGTATATAGTATACTATATACATGTTAAGAGTTAAGGAAATATATTTTTAGGTATCTAAAATTTATGTATATAAATATTATTAATCAAATGATAAGTTAATTTTTTTTAGAAAACTAATTAAAATATAAATTAAACAATGTAAACGCAAAAATAATTATTATGTGTTTTTAAATAATATAAATTGCAAAGCCACGAGTATTATATGAGAGAGATTTTGATTTTATTAGGACTGAATGTAAAGGAATCACAATATTATAATAGGCAGTTTGATGTTTAATACTATCATTAAAGAAAATAACATTTTTTGTATTATTTTTTACATTAAATTCTGGTATTTATTAATTGATCATATAACGACATATTTTAGCATTCAATTATTGACTTAGGTATGTCGAAAAACATTTTAAAAGAAAGTAATAAATCTTGAACTTCAGGTTTTAAGATACGCTGACGAATATGTCTAATTAAGTGTTAATTTTAGAGAAAGTGCTGATGAATGTCACGGTGTCATTTTCATAATAATATAGTTAAATCTTTCTTCCTAATTAATCAATTTTAGACCACTAGCCAATTAAAACATTATTATAAAAATCGTATATTTACTTATTTTATTATTTTATAATGGAAATAGGTACACGTTTTGAATAATGTTATGTACGTATAAATTGACATCATGTAAAACGTTTGACACTGATGAAAATAAACATTAATAATAATAGTTTGACGGAAATAAAGTAGTAAAACTTAGATACCAAGGAACACTTTTAACTTTCTAACCAATTATTGTTCATTAGGTTTGTTTTCTGTTTTTCAAATAAATAATTTTAATGTTACAAACAAATATTTCATAACACATTACGTAGGTTTATGAAAAACACTCAAAAATGTATCTTACAGTATATTATACATAGAAACCAATAACTACACATCTTGTGTGTTATTTAAAAGAATAAACCATTGAAAATTGCTTGTCTACGTTGAACCATAGTTGTGTACACCATGTGCCCTTGACTTTGCATGCAGCAAACACGACCATGCTAACCGAAAACACTATATCGCATACACGGTAGATAGGTACAAAACGTTTTTATTGATTGTAATAATAATAGTGACAATAATGATGGAAAAAAAATAAAATAACGATGATCGAAAAATATTCTTAAAACTGGTTATGGTGTGAGAAAGTGGTCAACCTTACATTACCGTCGTACACGACGCACCTACCTGCCACACAGTTCAGCGACAGTACGCAAGCCAGTTAGTCACTGGTGTCGAATCGACAATATTGCTTTAGAAAAGATGACGTAGATACTTCTTTGTGATTTTATCGATTAACGCAAGCAACATAATTATTATGGAGTTTGCACTGAAAGTAATCACCGTGATTGCGATTTACATTTGCCCGACTGGTGAGTACCTATATTCTACCTACCTTCTATCTACCAATAATTCATTTACTAACAAGACTCACATTGTTTTAATAAAAATTAATATAACAAAAATATTATAATATGTATTTTTTAGGCATAGCAAATAATATTAATTAAAAATAATATAAATAATAATGAAGTTATAAAAATCATATTGTATTCAACATATTTTAAAACATTGTGGAATTTGAAGCTTATTCAAACGAACTAGGTACGAGTTTACTAAAACGCCATGCAATTTTATTGAAATTAAAGAAACAAAATATCAATAGAAGGGCAATGGTTCTGTTTTTGGACACTTTCTTAAAATACAATTAGATATTTTAATATTATCTGCGATTATTTTTGTAGGTTTGTAGATATTCAAAAACAAATCTAAGTATAGAGTTTAGAATATTCAGATTTAAACACTTACTTAATTTCTCTCTCTCTTTCTCTCTCTCTCTCTCTCTCTGTCTCTCTCTCTCTCTCTCTCTCTCTCTCTCTCTCTCTCTCTCTCTGTCTCTCTTTCTCTCTCTCTCAATTTACTAAACGCGTTTTTATATTTACGGAGCATAATATTACATAGCTAATAATGGACCATGTGTGTTCGATTTCCTGTTTATGAGATTATTTTGAATACCCAAATCACAAATTCAGAGCCAGTATACTGATATACTTAAACATGTTTATTGATGAACATACGTAGTTCTCATAATAATATAGTTGCTATAAAGTTTGGAAAACAAAATATATTTCCAGGTTAGGATTTATATTTCTGTATGCTTGGTCCACCAATTTTCTGCAAAAAGTGTCGTGTCGAAAGTAACAAAGTTATCTATTTCTTCTCAATAAGTATATTTATACAGTGAATTATTTATAATTTTATTATTCTTTTAAAAAAATACAAATTTAATTTAATACATTTTTTAAATACTTTATAATGTAACTACTACTCACATAATTACAATATAAGTAGGTCTGCATTTTTATGATACATTAAACAGATATTTAAAGTGAAATTTAAGTCCCAAGAACTCTTTTCAATCACGATCATTAATTTACGATTAATATTTTAGATTCGAAGAAGAGCGAAGAAGCTTATAGTTTTACAAAGATGTTTATTTTTTTTTTTATCTGTGTGCAACTTTTTTACCAGAAGACTTGTTTGGATTTCTACGTGTAGTGCCTTTTTTGAAAGGAAATTGGCGTGGGAAGGTACTTTAAGGGACGTCATTTTTAGATTTTCTCAAGAGTTTTCCCAGAAAATGTAAAAACCGAAAAAATAGTAGGAAAATTGGGAAAATTGATACATACAACATTAAACAAATTTTACTAAAGAAAATATATAAAGCCTATTTAATTATTTTTCTATAAAATGACATATATATTCTGAACTCCGCTCAGAATTGTTTCTTCGTAAGCAATGGTTTATTGTTACTTACATATATACATTATATTCCCGTCTATATCCTACCTTCCCAACTTTCTACCTACACCAGTATCTGCACCCGTCTCCATTATCTTATCTATCTTTTCTTTTTTTTTAATTTCGATTGAATTTGATTAAGACATGTAGATATGCAACCAAAAAATTATCATTATGTCCAGACAAGTTATTATTCTAATGAGTAATGTGGTTGTTTTTCAATTTCATTTTATCAAGAAACTTGCTTTGGATAACTAAATATTTTTCTTTGCTTAAATTTCTTTTTATAGGTAGGTACTTTAGGAGAAATTGATAATAAATCGTAACGAGCACGCATAGTTGAATAAAAGTGAAATCAGTGAAACCGATTTCAAATAATAATTTGTGACAATTCATAAACTCTGGAAAATATAAAACACGATCAAATCAGTTTCAAAGTCAATAGTTTTTTTCGTTGAGCCTATTTTTTTAATGAAAACATTTTTTTTTTTAGAATTGTTCATTTGTTAAGCCGAAAATTTAAGTTATTATATTGCGATTTGCGATTAATATTTGCCCTATTGTGAAAGCGTAACATTTCAATTCATCTTTTTAAATGTCGAATATACAATATATACCACATGGTCTACAATCACTCCCCACAATACCTTCTTACACGTCGTTATGTAATTATAATTCACCTCAAGCTATAACACAATACAAATTTGTCTGTGGAGTTTTTAATAAATATATGTGCTAAGGTCGCTTAAGAACGTTGAACCTGCAGTAAACATTCTCAGGAAATTGTGTGGACACCATTCCAACTAATTTTAAAATAACCATGTGTGTGTATTACTATATATATTATAATATTATTTATAACTCGAATTTAAACTAAGTTAATATATAATTATGAGGAATTTTGAGCAATTATTCAAAAGACAATGTAAAGTAAAAAGGATGGCATACTCCGCGATAGGATACCTAACCTAACGATAAACCATTGCTAACGAAAAAACGATTCAGAGCGAAATTCAGTTGATAGCGATGATGCTTTGTCAACAATTTATATGTCATATTGTGATAAAATAACTAAATAGGAATTATATTTTTTCTTTCATAATATTTGTTTAATATTCTACCGATTTTCCGGTTTTGCCTTCGTTTTTCCCGGTTTTCCCATGTTTTTTCCTAGTTTTTCATATTTGTTATATTTTTGTTTACAGTAGTTTATAGTTGCTTTATATAGATATAAATTAAATTACTGCATATATTCTACCTTCCAAACTTGCAATCTACAACATTGATGATGCACCCATAAACAGTATTAGCTCTTTTTTTTTTTATTGTTAAATATAATAGTTTATTAAAAATACAAAAATTTACTCAGCTTTATTTAGTTTTTGAATGTTTGTAAAAATATATTCGTTTACCAAAATTATTATTGCACTCAATATAATATTTATGACTTGTTATAAATTTGTCTAGAAAAGATTATAGTTTTTCAATTCAGAAAAAAAAAGTTACAAACAGAATATATTAATAATATAAAAACTGGAATAGCGAATTTAGCATTTGTTTCTTTTATTTCTTATAATCTTGTCTTTAAAATTATTGTGAAAATCGAAAAATGAAAGCCTGTATATAGTGCAATATCTATATTCTATATGATTATTTACTTGTCTATTAAGATAGATAATTTTTTAGAAAAAAAAATCAAGAAATCAAAATTATGAATTCGATTACACAATATTGATAAGCGACATACGGGATTATTAGAACAGTAATAATTTTTAGAATGAGGAGTAGCAAAGGGAGGATTAATTCTGAAGTTAAAAGAGGGTACTTTAAGGTCAATTTTTTGTGACAATTCAAGGCAGTCAATGACACCATTCAAGATCTTATACATAAAAGATATATCATATTCTAATCTACTAATTTTTAAAGACTAGATTATATTCATATATATTTGATAATAATAATTTAATTTGAAACTATTGTATTAAATTCCAGCTATGTAGTTTGTTATAGGTTATAGGGTACCTATATCTAACACAATTATTTTATATTATTATTAATATACAAATAAACGAGTTATAACCAAAAAATAATCTTGGCACTTAGTACCTACTTACAAACCGTTTAATGTGTTAACATAATAATTTCAATTTAATCATTTACTTCGGATTAATGTGATGTCTAATTTCGAATGTTTGATACAATACTTTCAGTGATATGTGCAGATCCTACTAATGAAACTCCTTTTACTTGCCCAGAAGTCGGTGGAAATGGAAACTATGCCGATCCAGCCACGTGTCGTCGATTTTATCAAGTATTTGTCACTATTTCTAATTATTATGTAATTCATTTTTTTACAGAATGTATATTTTTTCAGTGTGTTGATAATTTTCCATATTTGAACCGTTGCCCGGCGGGTTTATACTTTGACGATGTTAATAAGCTGTGTACGTTCAAAAACGAAGCCCGTTGTGGACCTCTTCCCACGAGTAAGATTATTATAAAAAATATAAATGAGATGTGGAACATAGGTCACTTATATGACTTTATTTTATTTAGCTGAAGCGCCAAGTACAGAAAATCCTGTCGACTTAGCACAAAAATGTGATACAAGTCAGTGTATATTACCTTATTGTTTTTGTTCGAGAGACGGAACCTTAATACCAGGTGGATTGGATCCAAAAGAGGTTGGTGCCTACTTTTTATTACCGTTGTATGAAAACATATTTTTGCTCCTGTTTTAATTTTTAAACATTTCAATAGACACCTCAAATGATACTGTTGACATTTGATGGAGCAGTGAACCAAAATAATTACGATCATTATCAAAAAGTGTTTTCCCATAATAAGAAAAATCCTAATGGATGTCTTATTAAGGGAACGTTTTTTATATCGCACGAATACTGCGATTATAACATGGTACAAGAACTTGCACATAAAGGTCACGAGATTGCCGTAGAAACCGTTTCGTAAGTACACTTTGTAGGGTTAAGTTTTGTATTTAAGTTACATAAATAAATCAATCCTTACAAGGAAAAACTTCTAATTAAATTATATGTTTATAGGTTACAAAAAGGGCTACACGACAAAGGATACGAAGAATGGGTCGCCGAAATGATTGGAATGAGAGAGATTCTCGTGAACTTCGCAAATTTAACGAAAAGCGATATAGTTGGTATGAGAGCACCCTTCTTGAAACCTGGACGAAACACCCAATACGAGGTATTAATTATTATATACATTAAACGGTTAAAATAAATTAATTTATTATTTTTACGAATTATATTTTCTATTAGAAATATTGCTTTAATCAAAAAACGATAAGAAATCTTTTTTGTTGAATTTTTAATTTATTTGGTGGGTAAGAAAGTCGTTTTTTGATTTCATTATAGTTTTTCAATAATTTAACAAAACCGAAAAAAACTTTAAAAAAACGGGACATCGTTTTTCATTAGAAATAGTTTATAGTTGTTTATCGATGTAAATTAAATAACTTAATGCATCCTAACTTCTCAGCTTCTCATCCTCAAGTGACACACCCGTCCCTAGTATCAGCTGTTTTTTTTTTATTTACTTATCATAATAATTAATTTATAATAAAAAACGTCTGCATTATGATGAAATATTTTTAAATTATTGTATAACTTCAGAAGCTTCGCCATTAACTGTTAATTTAATAATAATAATACACTTCTTTTTTCTTTTTATATAAGTTTTTTTTAGTTATAATCATAGCTCAACAGCATAATAATATACTTTATTGCAAAAAAACAAAACAATGCAGAAAATGTATATGAATTACCAATGGAATAAAATATTGCAGAGCCCCCTAAAAGCATAGCTTGTACCGGGGGAGCGAGTTCTTATCACTTTTATAATACATAAAATCTAAAAACAATAAGTTGTTCATAATAATATTATACAATAAATATAAATACATTTCACTTTATTAAAAACGTTAAACCTTCTTATAAATTCATTATCTTCGATAAATTTAAGTATTTCAAAATTTGAAAATGTTTTAAAATATTTTAAATTTTCAAATTGATTTATGTTAATATTTAATAAACGACATAAATCAAGACCAGTATACAACATTATAACAGCATGAGTGATTCCAATCGAACTTGTATCTTAGTCATGTTTATACATGAGCTAATTTAGAAAACACTCTTTTCCAAGAAAAACTTGTCACGGAGTAAATAGGATAAAGATATAGTAAATAGCATATTTTTTAGAAGATAATTTTATCTATTTTGTGTGTGAGAAAGTCGTTGTTTGATGTTCCGTATAGTTTCCCTAATACTTACGAAAAACTAAGTAAAAATGTAGAAAATACAGCAAAATGTATAGAATTTGGTTTGTCTGTTTTTATTCGGTTAAAAATTATTATAGAAACCTGTAATTTTCACAAAATACTCATATTGGCGTTTTGTTGACGTAGTAAAATTATCGAAACATTCTAGCTATTATTGGGCTATAATATATTTATAGGTATTTGTTATTAAAATTATATGACTTAAAATAAATACTTGAAGATTTAACACAAGGTACATTATAAGTTTTACTAGTGGTTTAAAAAAGCAATTTGAGTTGAATGCATTCGATTTTTTTTCTAAGCGTTTTAAAATCAAATTTTAATGAAAATCATAAAAATTGTTCAAAATACGTCATACTTTTTCGTTAGCAATAGTTTATCGTTACTTATAGATATAAATTAAATAACTTTATGTATACTACCTTACCAACTTCCCACCTACAAGAATATCTGCACCCATCCCCAGTATCAGCTCTTTTATTTATTGTTATAGATTGTTTAGTGTATTAGTATTTAAACATAAAAATAATAATAATGCATTTCATTTTAGAATTAAAACGTTTCTATTATAGCTAATAAATGATAAAACAAAATGTATCGTTAAAACGAATGCTTCATACGAGATTCTTTATATTTTTATAATGTATAACTTAATACAATATAACTTATTATATGTATATTTTAAATATTAAGTAACCTTTCTCTTTTTTTTTAATACGTATCTGTGAATTATTTTTCGGCATGTATTATTAATGCTCGTTCTTTTATTTTTACACAACATTTGAACTTTTAATAAATCTCTAACCACATTGACACTGACGTATTTCACAATAACATGCTATGCACACTTCATTCATTTTAAAACACGTTTTTTTATATAAGTTATTGTTTTTTTTTTTTTTTTTATTATTGTATGTAATCTATCCTCCTTCCATTTACCATTACTAATTATAATTGATACATGAATTTGTATAGATTATGATAACATGATAAACTACACTCGCGTAAAAATTTCATTATGTCTCATTTCCTACTTATATTTTGCTAACGGAATGGGTTCAAATTTATGGCCGGCCTTAGTTTTTACGTGGTCCTGGACAAAATCATTTTGCCTGACTTTTTTTTTAATTTGAATATAACATGTTCCTATATTTTCATTATTAATAATATTATACTACCTCCCCTCCACAATTATTCATACCTTAATATAATATTGTAAACTATTATTTTCTAAATATTGTAAAAATTTTTCAACAAGACGACAATAGCAAACTTCCGTTAAAAGTCAAAAGCCAAATTACCGTATTATCAAGATCATTATATTTGTATATTATATTCAAATTTCACGTACAACGAAATGTTATAAGATACTTTTAGCATCGATTATTATTGTTACTGTTGTTGACCATAACGCTATTTTTAGATTTAATATTTTTATGAATATTATTATGTAATATGTACTTGTACAATATACAATAAATATATACTATTTGTATTATAAACTTAATTAGCCTGTATGAACCTATAACTGTAATAATTACAGTTATACAATAATAGTACAATTATTGTACTATTTCAACTGTAATATATTTAAATACCTACTCGATAATATTTATCTACTTTAAATCTATTTATTAGTCAATATTATTTATAAACACGAAAGAGTTGAGAAATATAAGTATAACTTTCCATTTGAGATAATTATTAATTATTGTTTTTTAAATGTATCCTAGGTAATTGAAGATTACGGTTTTGTTTATGACAGTTCAATTGGTATCCCTCCTTCTAGGGTACCGATATGGCCGTACTCTCTAGACTACAAGATTCCACACGAATGCAAGTCGGGAACTTGCCCTACCAAATCGTTTAAAGGTAAATTTCCCACAAATATATATATATATATATATATAAACATATATAAATAAATTTAAGTTTTAAATTTTTAAAGTTCTTTTAAATATAAAATTTTTCAAATTCAAATTTATAGGTACATGGGAAGTTCCTTTAAACGCCCATTACGTTGAAACATACGAAGGTGGTCACTGTCCGTACTTAGACCAATGCGTATTGCATAGCCATGATGCCACCGAAGTGTTTGAGTGGCTCCGTGAAGACTTTAACAGGTATTATAATCAAAATCGGGCGCCATATATGATGCCATTCCATACCAACTGGTTCCAAATTAAAGAACTGGCCGACGGACTGCATAAATTCGTCGACTGGGCTAACAAACAGTAAGCGAATTCATTTTATTGCCGATAACGAAACTCGGAACTATAAACATGGAAATATATATATTTACATCATACATACTATGTAATTTTTTTTTAGACCAGACGTGTGGTTCGTTACAACTACACAAGCGTTGACGTGGATGACCGATCCGAAAACCACCAAGGATTTGTCCAGTTTTGAGCCATGGATGTGTGACAAGCCGGATCAGCTGCCATCACCGCCATGTAATTTGCCCAACAAATGTCCCTTATCATTCAAGCACCCGGAAACCAATATATCTGGGACAAGGTAATATTAATTATTCAAACATAATTTTGTTAACGTCAATAATTAAACAATTTAGATTTTCAAAAAAATACAATTTGAATAATTTCAGGTATTTGTCAACGTGTAGAGAATGTCCGAGGAAATATCCGTGGCTGGGTGATTCGAAAGGAACCGGAGTTGCCGGAGCCGACGTATACACTCCAGAAAACTTAAAAAAGAAATAATTTAAGATTTACATTTTATCATCTTTTTATACCATTATAGAATCCAAAAGTATTTATTATTTTCTTTCGATAAAATTATTCCCCAATCAATTTAATTGGGTTTATTTTAAATTTAAATTATTCAATATAATTATACAAATATTATGTTAAATTTAAATTAGGTACATTTATCTTCAGTATTATTTAATTTTACAACACTTACATGAATTTACAATATGCCATATTGGTACCTAATAATGAGACAAATAAATAATATAATCGTAGAACTAAAATATTATAATAATATATGCATGACACCTACTCGTAATAATGTTTGACATGGTAACAACATATTATTACACAAGTTAATATGTTGAAATGAGAGTTGTTTTTTTGATATCAAAACTAGTTTTCATAATAATTGTGAAAAATAAAAAAAATACAATTTTTATATTATGGCTCATCGATTTCATTATTTAAAATTTGAGATTTAAATTGGACTGGAGTAGTACTTTAAGGAAGTCATTTTTTGATTTTCTCAGAAATTTCTCCAATAAATGGAAAGAATTGGGAAAAAGGTAAATTTAAGAAATGTATTATTTTTAAATCATAAATACTACTGACTTTAAAAACATGTATCTAACGGAATTTTTCTTTTGTTAGCAATGATAATCGTTGAAATTTAATAAAAATAAAAGTTGATACGTCAAAATGTTCAGATAAATAAACTCTATAAAATGGCTATCTTCAAATTTTTCAAAAATAATAAAATAAAATTGTTTTTACTAAAACATAAAAAATGAATTGAAATATAAATATGTATAATCCTTTACCCAGTGAGTAACAAAAAAAAAACATAATTCGATTATCTTTATTATCTTCGGAGATATTACAATGCGTATACCTTCGTGGGACACCCTGGAAATGTTCTGAAAGGGTTGTAATATTTACGATTTTCATCAAAATTTGATTTCCCGTCTAAAACAAAAAAAACATGTTCACGCATTTCTGTTCAAAAATGAATCGAAATGTTTTGAAAATTTTACCACGTCTAAAAAAACTAAATATAAGTTTTTTATCAAAATTTCAAGTCTTTAAGGATATTTTTAACTGAATACCATTAAAAAACAAAAGTTAAAATAATAAAATAATTATTTCCGTACATTTTTCCGTTCTTTAACTAATTTAATTTAAAATAATTTGGTTTTAAATTTATTTACTTTAATTAATTTTCCAATGACAATTAATAAATTAACTATATATTGTTTCATATGTTACGGTGTCATTTTAGTACGCCGATTTGTAAGAATGTTTTTGTGTATGCTGAAGGACCGTTCGACATCAACCGATGTCACTAGAGAATATTGTAAGTCAGCTACCATAGTCAGTGAATAATTTTCCAGAAGTTGTACTGTGTTATTTCCATTGAAAACTTGTCCAATATTTTTCAAAAATTTGTATCCTTAATTTTTTTGTTGAAGTTGCAATATTTTTGTTTTCACTACTTCTCTTTTTTCTCCTGGTATCTGCTTAAGTTGTATAAAAGTGTTTTCGATAATATTTAACATATCAACTAAAGGCCTATTAAATTTTTTAAAACTTTTGATAACTGTAACAATTATTAGAAAATTAGTTTTAATAAAAATTAAATCATTTTTTACAGACTGTAGGTGTAACATTTTTGAATTTTTCAATACTAACCGACAACTTTTCTTCACTTAATTTGCCTATAACATTTTAAAACCCTCAAATTTTCACAATTAAATACAGCGGCTTCCAGCCAAGTTCCCCCTCCCTTAGTTAATACAGGTTCTGAAAGTAATGGCATATTGGGCAATATTTTTTTGTACACCTGGACATGATATGGCACTTTTAAAAATACTTTTTAATATTATTAATCAGTTTGCTCACATTTGGAAACATTTCTCTGATCTTCTCTGCAATTCTGTTCATCATGTGAACTACACACGTAACGTGAATTAAATTTGGGTAGAAAACTTTTAATGTATCACCAGTTTTTGTCATGTATGGAGCTGCATCCGAAAACATTAATAGCAATTTTTCGTCATTTCCACCCAACGGTCATGTAACGGTCAGTAATGCACTTTCATCTAGAATACGTTTTCCAGTGTATTTCTCTAAAAATTTACGAAATTGAGGCACTTGAATTTTATACCAAGGTATATTAGCTGTTACTAAGGCTAGACACAAATTTTTATTAAAATCATTTAAATTGCTTTCATTGGGAGTAACTCCTAATAAAAATAATTGTTTTCACGAAGTATTTAATTTACGATTCAAATAATTTTTATGGATAGTCATATGTACATTTTACCTATGACTTTTTGATGCAAGGAATATTTTTGTCACAAACTTGACAAAAAAATTGTTGTACTATCTATCGTGAAAATCGTTTATTGGTTATTGTACGACGAAATCCAATTAAAAAAATAAATTTTTAAAACTGCTTGAAGTTTTTAGCAGACTTGTATGTTATTGTAATACGAATGGAAAGACAATATTTAAGCATTCAAATATCAACACGTACCGCCACGGACGACTGAATGGTCGTGACAGCTAACGAAATAACCGGTGTGTTATCACCATCGATAAGGAATATCTGCTGATTAATTTATATTAGAACCCAAAAATAAATTGTATAGTGAATATTGTATTATACGTGAAATATGTTCATTATAACGATATTACAAAAATAAAAATATTCTCAAATATTCTCCATTGTGTTGAATATTGTCTAAAATATGCTTTTTTATACAAAATACATTTTTTCCTATGAATTCTGTGTTTCATGAATCGCAATATCTTACTCCCATTTAACTGCATAAACTAAAAACAAATATGTAAAATCATAAAAATCCGACTTCTACTTGTAACTAAAGCCTGGATTTTTATGCAAATGCATATTCTTCTACATTTGACTTAAAATAATTCTGATTAAATATGTTGACGTTTCGTAATACATAGTTTCTACTATTCCTTGTTTTTTTTTTATATATATTTTTGCATATTTGCATCAAAATTCATAATAATTGTATATTTCTGGGTGATTACATAAAATGTGCATATTTTATAAATACTAAATAAAATATTTTAAATTTTACTCAAAGTTTGATCCCTGATTATCACAAATAAAAAAAATTTTTGGAATTATAAGCACCTTGCAGAGTTATTACCTGAAGATATTCCTTGTTTCAAATAAGCACAAATATGCATTGTGTCAGCAGACGTGAAACGAAGCTTTTCAAAGTACAAGGCGATGCTACGTGACAATCGTAGAAGTTTCCAATTTGATAATTTAAAAGTACATTTTATTACTTCATGTTGGTACTCATTCAAAAATTAATAAAAATTGTGCAATACACATTTAAAATATTTAATCATGCATAATTATTAATAATTTTTTAAATATTTTTTACAATAATAAATTTGTTCGATAAAAATTAATAGCTAAAAAAATTATCAATACAATTTGAACTTATGTAAAGTCTTATACCGTTTTCCAAGTATTTTTATGCATAATTATATGCGTATTTTACATTTTTAATGCATATTATATATATATTTTTGAAAATATATGTGCATAAATATCTACATATTTAATAATATTTTTTGCATAAAAATCCGGGCCCTACTAATAACATTATGGCCTACAATAAACGTTTTGTTTAGGTATTCGACAAACCAATACGCGCACAATGCACTTATTTTAAGTTGGGTAGTCGTAGGAATTTGATTGTATAGAATAACTGTGTTGATATTGATAGAACGTTTTGTTTACATTGATTTGCCTAAGTCGTTAAAAATCTGTTTTCAAAAAAAATTCCCACTAAAATGTACTGCCCCCAAAATAATGTTGCCCGGGACAATTTCCCCCTCTTGTCCTTCCCCTAAATATGTTATATCATAATGAACAGTCGAAAATAAATTAAAATTAAAATTAAACGTTTTAAACGGATACACCATGGCGATGACACCCTGATTATGGCTATCGGACTAAGCAGTTATATTATTTTTTTTTTTGGTACCTACTACCAACTCATTATCACTTATGTATCTATTAATTATCTATTAGTTATTATAATTAGCCATTAGATATACTTACGCCACTGGATACTATCGAATAATTCGTAGTTTCGAACCATACTATCGAACACAAACTGTCGAATAGTTCAAATAGTATCTATTGTTTATACATGACCGAACAGTATTAATCAGCGAACCGTTCGATAGGTTTTAGTTTTTATAAGATCGGTCAGACCAGATATTATTGATAATCCGAATCGAATAGTTTTTCCACGAAATATGGAAGTTTTTTTACGACCGAATAGTTCAGTATCCAACAGTTCGGTAGTGACTACTTTTTATTTCGCCCCGATTAACCGACAGCAGTGAGTGACGGTTCTGTGTTAACGTTACTACATCCCTGCTGCCTAGGTAGTGACTAATTAATCGATAGTATCAATCACTATTCTCTTGTAAAAATTTGATACCGTGACCTCGATAAAGATCAGAAATTTAATCGCCTGTCGTCAATGATGATAATATTGGAAATATCAAAAGACCGAAAAAATATAGACGACTTTGAAGGATAAAATCGTAGGATATTTTTGTTGTTACAAATTTACAACAGTTTCAAATTAGTTAGCATACGAAAATACTTGGGTTTTTCGAATTTTCAATATCCGGTCTGGGTAAACAAACCGTGAATGTAATCGATTTATCGATAAATATCGCGCATCGACTTTTATCGCAAATTGGTATCAAGGTAGGCAATAAAATACTAATAAAATGTCTAAAATCGAAAATCGAGTATGGTTCGTCTATTACGTCATGTATGTCCGTATCAGGTTATTGAAAAACCCTCGCTGCTAAGTCTGAACTAGTAGGTAGTTAGTCGTATAATATTTGCATAGATATTATTTCTTTTGTTACCTACCTATGTGTTTTCGACGAATGTATTAGTTGTACAGTTCAATAGTTACATTTTTGTTTTCTCAATAATTATTATTACCTAATTAAGAATACGAGTAACTTCGTTTAGTGGCTTAGTGCACACGCGCAAAAAAGGCGATGTTCATATTATTAATTTTCATTTCCGGAGACGATATTTCAATGACGCCCTCAACGGTGAGTTTACGATGAAATAAAATTAATTGTCTTCCATGAATAATCAACGCGGCTGTACTCTATGTGCGTATAGAGACAATAGGTAAATAGGTAATTTTTTTCATTTCTGTACGTCGGCAAATCGGCAAGAGACAATTATTTTACACAGTAACAGTTTGTACGCGTTAAGAAAGTTTTGATGACAAATGAATTGCAAGCGATGAAATCACTATCAATATAGTTTACCGATATTTAACCATAAAACCGTTTCATATATTTGTTGAGAGAAAAGACAATCATTCAAAGGTAAAGTACCTAATTTATATTTCCCATGTACCTTTTATACTTTTAACTTTTATAAATATCTAATATTATTTCACTAAAATTGAATATGACACATTTTAACACACACATACACACGTGTATATATTATGTTTGTACACATAATTTTCCTAACCTAACCTAATCGAATTTCCGAATTAAAATACAATCGTACAATATTCGTAAATTCTAAATACTCGTGGTATCTCCATATAAAATTATCTATTTTGTGGTATCTCTACGAATTACTAACAATATTTTTATGCCAATTTAATCGTATGATATTGATCGAATCGTTATGAAAGTATCGCCCCATCGACCCTCGTTCATTCTCCAATATACTCTTAGATTGATTCATTATTGAACTCGTCATAAAATGTGTGCCATATATGGATTTTTAAAATCTGTATTGAATGCAATTTAATTTGTAATGTTCCTAGTGGCGCCGACCCGTACGTTCAGGTATTGCAGTATCAGATAATCAAGCTCAGAGTATATTGGAGCTAAGAGTATATTTATGAGCGAAGGGGAAGGGCGATCGCCGTCATCGCCATCCTTGGATCATACAATATGTTTAACACCATCTCTACTAAATGTTCTTATATTGATATTATTATGTAGGTATGCCGTAATTATTATCGTGTTTTAAAAATATTATTATTGTACCTTTCAATCAGTGCCTCAACCAGTGTTTGGGGGGGGGGGTTATAACTCTCCCCTCTCTGAAACTGGAGATTTTTTTGTATGCATTTTATATTATACGTACAAGTTGCATAATTTGTTCAGCAATTACAAGTAGTTCTTTAGCTAATCTTTTTAAAAACAAATTAATTTATTTGAAATTCAAAACCCTCTGCTCCCACTGAAAATGAATACTGATTGCGCCATTATTTTTAATGATGTATTTGATTATTTCTAGGAAAATAAAAAGGTGCGATGTACTTTATCCGTAACGAAGACGACGAAAAATCAGATGACGAGCAAAACTCAAATCTCGAACGGTCTATCGACGTCGACGATGATGATATAAAACTGAAGCCTAATGACATTTTTAACGGCAAAAACAACAGCGAAAAACGAGTGTACGGGCGAGCAAGAGCGAATTTGTGCTATAGTTCGTTTTACATATTTTGTGAAGATTTTCGCAAGCAACTTGATTACGTATACGCCCACGAAAGTGAATTTTATCGCAAAAGCATGTAAGTATATTACATACAAAAAAATATTATACATATTTTGACTATGGCCCATTTTGTTTAATATAGGTAGGTTAGATGGGTAAAAATATCTAGTTAATTTATACCTATGTCGTATCACTGCAAAATCAACAATATTAATGCATAATATCAGGCGTGACAACTTTACATTTTGAATTATTGATTGGTAAAATATAAGATCATTAGGGCCCCGAAATTCCCATTGCTTTGGGTTAAATTTAAATCATCCCCCAATCAAATATTCCTAAACACGTCTAGGACACTATGGTTTTTTTTACTAATATTTTTTTTTTTAGAAGGAACAAATAGCTCCTTGACTTTCTAATAGCCCACTTTACCAAAAACAGGAGTTACTTTCTTATTTGATAAATAGGTTTTAATTTATTTAAGACTTGAGAATTGTGAATTTTCAATTAATAAAATCATAACCATGGTTTGAAGAAATATATTTTATTATATTATGATGAGTGATAATAAAAAAAAGATATTAAACAAATTAAAACTATTTGTACATGACATGAATGTTTGATTTTGTATTGCACAAATTGTAAGGGGACTTTTGTGGGGCCAAATTATTGTTATTTTGGGCTCATGTTCCCCTTGACTTCACCTAGTCACTTCAGCATATTATTATAAACTCTAAACAATATTATGCTACGTTTAACTGAATATATAACTATATAAATGTTATGGTAATATAATATTAATATGTAGTGTAAAACACTGTACACATATCTATAAACAGTTGAAGTAAGCTAAAAAAATGTATGATAATAACAAAAATTATATAAATAATAGTTTACAAAATAAAAAAAAAACCCTTAATTAATAGGCATAGATATCTTTTATTAATCATAGATTTCCAAAATTACTTTATTAACTATATATTAATTTACATTTTACCTTTTAGATTGTCATCTTAATTTCCTACTTTTGTAATCTATTAAAAAAGAGTTATTTAATTATACCTGATTTGTTTTTAGGTTCTGAGGGGTAAGAAATATGTTGGTTTTAATCTAGGTTTTATTATGATGTGGTGTGGGTTTTTCAGTAATTTAAGTAGAGAATAAGACATTGTACATAAAAAGAAAAAGTTTTCGGATTTTAGTTGTGTCTGGATACTATTTGAAATGGTTGGTAGATGGCGCTAAGTTAATTTTAAACAAAACTTATTTACATTTTATACATCATTTTTTTTGTTAACAATAAGTATGGCTTACAGAATCATTATTACATTTATAGATCTATAAACACTATTAACTATAATTAACTGCAAATGGGACTTGTATAACTTATAGGTCCGATTTTGTATATTATATAACTTTTACAGATTGATTCTAATAATGTTTTCAATAATTTGATGCATTCGGATTGGATATTTCAAATGAACTGTACATATCAATATCATTTATTTCGTTCACACGTATGATGAACAAATTAAACTGAATGACTATCTACTAGGTATTCTTAAACCTTTACTGCATAATTTACGTAACGTTTTAACATATCTTTGAGCCTTCTAGCTCTATTACTGGTGAATCAGCATCCAAATCGTTACCTTCTTCTTTGTCTATGAAATTTATTGTTTTTTATTCACTATTTATATCGGATAAAGGTTCAATGATTTTTACTAATTCTGATTAACATAATCTTATTGACACCATTAATGAGGTAATATTATTGTTGGGTGTACTATAAATAAAAAATAAAATAAATAAGTACATAATGTAATATGTAATACAAATTGCCTAAATTAAGTTAAAATAAGATAAAAACTTTTCACAAACCGAATCAAATGCCCATACTAAGCGATGTTTCTTTAACCTAACCCGGCCTAGACCAATATACTCACATTTAGGGCCGTCCTAAAGGATAAATCACGGGGGGGTTAATTTCATCTCTTTGCTAAATCTAAAAATATTCTCCTTCCACTTGAATTATTAATATCAAGATAGGAATATTAAATATATATTCATTTTGGATTTATTACCTTTATCAAATACAAAAAGCGAGAAAAATGTTTTTGTTATAAGTCAATACTTAGCAATACATGCAGTTGTAAAATACAAAATTTAAAGGTACATTTTTATGTCAAAATTCCATGTGATAAATATAATTTAAAACTATTATGGATATTATTGATCATGAAATTAAAATATGTCTAAAAATAAAATAATATCAACATTTTTCAATTAATTATCCTAAATTAATATTAAATAATAAATAATATATACCATACTTAAAATTGAAATTTTCTTTGTTTTAAATTAGACTATTGTGTTGCTATTTTATATACAGAATGATTCACTAAGCTTGCTCACTTCATTTTTTTGGTTAAATTTTGCATATATTCAAATTCTGATTTTTGGAATTTTTAAGTGTAATTAAAGCCAATATTTTTGAATACTTATAGATTTTTCTCAACATTTAAGTAGTATCCTATGGCAATACCAAATTAGTTTTTTCAAATGAGAACCTGTATTAAAAATCCCTTAAATAGATGGAGAATTACTTTAAATAAATTTTATCAAAATTTTTCATCTCCATCAACCTTATAACGAGATATTCCATTTTTAAGTTTAGGTAGAGAAGAGTAGTGGAGCACTAAAATGTTGGACGCCCCGTCCATACAATTGATATTCCACTATTCTTCCCCTCAGTTGCACAACTAAGAGAGGGGGTCCCTGGGTCCAGACCCCCCTTGAGTATTGCCTAATTATATTTAACAGTAAAAATTATTTATTAATTTTAGTAATATAATAATGCTTTGCAGCAAATAAAAAATCTTTATCATATGACACATATTGTCATATTCACATATTACACCTGCAACATCTGGTGATGAGTTTTTTTATTAACAAGGTAATCTCATCAAAATCCATCAAATAACATTGTTAACTATTATAGTATGAAATACCAAAATATTATGTCTACTAAATTTGTTAAAATATTGAACAATAATACAAATAATGTAATAATCTCTTTTAATATTTATTATAATTTAATCAAACTTTTAAACAGTAGAACTAAAAATTTCATGAAAAATCCCCCTTCTTTTGAAAATACTGATATATATAAACTTAAATGTAATTGTAATACATTTTATATAGGTAAGACAAATAGAAATTTTAAAAAAAGATAAAAGGAACATATTTCTGAAATAAAATTTAAAAAAGACTGCCCCTAATTCAAATTTCACTAAACCTGTTCCAAAAAATAACCATAATATACACTTTAATATTAATACAGACTTAGAGATATTAAATACCCAAAATAACATTTACTTTAATTCAGTTTTAGTAGTATTACATATACAGAGTGACCCATGAAGATTCAACAAATGCAATAACTTGTTCTATTTTTTTTTTTTTTGATATAAATTTATTTAAATAATTAATATGCCTTAGTGCTACAGTTTATATATGAATATATTTTTTAGGAGAAGGGGTACTAAAAACTCAAATTTTAAAATTTTACTATAACTTTTTTTAAAAAATTCAAATAGTCATATTGTTAAAGTATGATTTTTTATTTTTTAAGATTTTTTGAAAATTTGAATAATTTTTTCAATTTTAACAACATTGTTTATCAACATAAATTACCATTTTTAATTGATTGAAACTACCTAATAACTATAATATAATAATATTATTGCATGATATTAACTCGTGGAAAAGAAAATCTTTGTAATATATACTGACTATAATGAATGATAATATTTAATATTCACATTTGCAAAAACTTCAAAAATCGTAGAAAATAAAAGACCATACTTTAACAAAAGTTTCAATCACTAAAAATATTCTGAAAATTTATTTTACAAAACGGCTATTTTGAATTTTTTAAAAAAATTATGGTCTCCTTCTTTTAAAAAAAAAAAATGTTGATATATAAACTGTAGTGCTGAGGCACGCTTATTATTTAAAAAAATTTATATCAAAATCATTGAATAGGAAAAAGTTATTGCAATTTTCGAATTCTTGTGGGACACCTGTATACAATGAAATAATAAAAAAAAAAAAATGAATAATATTTTAAATGTACAAATTAATTTTAAAAATAATATCTTATATCAATACATTTTAGATAATAAATAATAATAAAATAATTTATATTTTTTGACATGTCTAATAATAACTAATTTAAATTTATTTTTTTTTTCAATCCTTAAATTGGTTAAATAACTTTGATGGCTCTCCACTTGTCCCTATCCATCACAGCTACTTTCAGTTCCTTGTAATTGGTTTTCCCTATGTCTTCTATGATCTGTTTCATAAAAGGTGTTTTTGTTCTACCTCTTCCAGCTTTTCCTTCTATCTTTCCTTATATTATTGTTGTTATCCATTCATTGTTTCTTATAATATATCCAATCCATTTTTTCTCCTTTCTCTGATTGTTTTTTGTTCGTTCATTCTTAAGTATACTTCCTTATTTTTAACTTTCTCTGTCCAAGGAATTTTCAGTGTTCTTCACCAACACCACGTTTAAAATGTGTCAATCCTTTTTCTTTCCACTTTCAGTATCATCCATGTTTCTACCCCGTATAGGCTATACTCCATACAACTCTTAATAAGAGTTTTTCTAATATTTAAGCTAACAGTGTTTGCCGTGAGCAGGTTCTTCTTCTTGTAGAATTCCTGTTTTACTTGTGCTATTCTGCTCTTTACGTCCATCTTGCTTTTTCCATCATATGTTACTTTGCTTCCTAAATAAGTAAAATATTGAACAGTTTCCAGCTTCTCATTTTCAATCGTTATGTTCGAAATCAATTTTTGTTTGCTGCATATTAATATTTTTGTTTTGTTCTTATTTATTTTCATCTTGTAATCAATTTTAAATAATCTTCCCTATTAAATAAATTATCTCTATATTCTATGTAAAACAACTAATTTGTACATTTTTTTTTATGTATTCCTTCATTTAATTTTTTATATTCAGTCACACTTTATATTTTGACTGTGGTATACCTGATGAATCAGGATGAAT